CTGCTGACCCTGAAACTGACCCTGTCGACCTAAATAACCACCCTGATAACTCTGGAGTGGAGGTGCACAAATAGGAGCTGGTGGTGCACTGTAGGCTAGCTGGTCGGAATAATGCATCTGAGGGCCATGACCACCTGAGGCATCGTGGGATGCCCGGAGCGCTGAATGAAATGGCCTGGGAGGATGGCCTCTACCAAAAGTACTCCTGCCTCTAGATGAGGCACCTCTGAACTCACCGGAATGACGAGGCCTCTTATCAGACCCCTGACCTCCCTGAGTAAGAACCATCTCGACTCGTCTGGCGACATTAGCAGCCGCCTGAAAAGAAATCTCACTCCAGTCTCCTTAGCCATCTGCAATCTGATAGGATGAGCAAGTACATCAATAAACCTCCTCACCCTCTCTCTCTCTCTCTCAGTGGGAAGCAGAAGAATGGCATGACGGGCTAAATCCATAAAACGGGTCTCATACTGAGTAACCGTCATACCGCCCTGCTGGAGACGCTCAAACTGACGGCGACGCTCCTCACTCGATGTGATAGGCAGAAACTTCTCTATGAAGAGCTGAGAAAACTGGTCCCAAGTAAGAGCAGGCGACCCAGCTGGTCTGGTCAACAAGTAATCTCTCCACCATTTCTTGGTGGAACCAGTCATTTGAAATGCAGCAAAATCGGCCCTATTAGTCTCCACTATACTCATGTTTTGTAGAACCTCGTAACAGATGTCAAGATACTCCTGGGGGTCCTCTGAAGGGGCACCACTGAAGTGAACAGGAAAGAGCTTGGTAAACCTGTCCAATCTCCATAAAGCCTCAGAAGACATAGCTGGCCCATCTCCGACCTGTGCCGCAATAACCGGCTGAACTAATCCGACTGGCTGAGCTGCTGGAGCCTGATACTGGGGAGCCATCTGCTTCGGAGCGGGGGTGGTAGGAGTCTGGGCTCCTCCTCCAGCCTGAGAGACTGCTGATGCCATGGGAAATGCGCCAGTCTGGGCCACACTCTCCATAAGGCCTACAAACAGACCAAAACATCCTGAAGTAATGGGGTAGCAATGAATCCCTCCGGAACCTGAGCTGGTCCGATAGGAACAATCTGGGCTAGAACCTCCTCGCCAATCTCTATCTGAGGCTCCACTGTTGGGGCTGCTGCTCGGGCCCTAGGCTGAGCCCTACCCCTGCCTCGGCCTCTGGCACGACCTCGGCCTCGACCTCGGCCCCGCGTAGGAGCTATCACTGGAGGCTCTGGCTGCTGCTCAGCTGAGGAAGCGGTACGCGTTCTCGCCATATATGAGAGAATAAGAGTAGAAGAGTTCAATCAGTATTTCGAAAGCAAAAATCGCACGACAAGGAAGAATAAAAGTGAAAATTGTTCCTAAACTTCATAGCCTCTGGAAGATAAGCACAGACGCCTCCGAACCGATCCTCCAGACTCTACTAAGATTTCTCGTGAATCGTGAGACCTAGGCAACCTATTGCTCTGATACCAACTGTCATGACTCGAAATTTCCCACAGACGGGACCGTGATGGCGCCTAATATTTCACTTGCCAGGCAAGCCAACGTTAGAGAATCATTAAACCAATTCCTTATTTTCATTCATTAAGTAACATTAATTAAGTAAAATAAAATATAATAAGTGCAGAATATCATAAAAACTGTATTAATTACTACCACCCGGATCTAGAGTCACAATTCACGAGCATTCTAGAATTTACTACAAGTAATAGTCTGAAAGAAATACAACTATCTGAATAAAAGAAACAGTAGAAAAGAAATGATAGACGAGGACTTCAAGGTCTGTGGATGCCGACAGATCTACCTTGAGTCTCCAGACAGCGGACCAATAGCAAAATCTCGATCAACCAGAGCCGGTATCAAAATCTGCACAGAAAGTGCAGAGTACAGCATTAGTACAACCGACCCCATATACTGGTAAATGTCAAGCCTAACCTCGACGAAGTAGTGACGAGGCTAAGGCAAGGCACCTACAATCAACCTGTATAATTTAACAGTGTATACGCAAATAACAGGAATGAAGAACTAAATAGGAAATGTCGAGAGAGGAAAACATACTGAGGGGAATACCAGATAAAGAACTACAACAGAATGATCACCGGAACAGTCAATATACCATGAATCAATAGGAATAGTGAATACAGTAAGGAAAAATGCACGGCATCACCCTTCGTGCTTTTACTCTCAATCTCATCATAAAATTAATAGAAACGGCTATTTTCTACCCTAACCCCTAATTCTACCATAAAAACTCTAGATTTTTGGTTGATAATTCAAGGAATGTAATGGGTAATTGAAAGAAAATAGTTTAGAATCACTTACCAACACTTTGGGGAAGAAAATGACTCTTGAAAATCGCCTTTACTCATTTGGTTCTTGAAAAATATTGAAGAAATGGCTTAAACCCGTGTTTAATTCTGTTTTATGCACTGGGCGACAGTATGCATCGCGTTCGCGAGGCCACTGTCGCGGGTACTGGCTGTCAAGCCTTCGTGTTCGCGAGACATTTCTTGCGTTCGCGAGACGTTGCTCGCGTTCGCGATGAAAGAACGACCAACCCTCCCCCAGGTCCCCAAGTGCTTCGCATTCGCGATGAGCAGATCGCGTTCGCGAAGGGTAAATCCCCCATCACTTCGCGTTCACGACCAGGCCTTCGCGTTCACGATGAAGGATTCTCAGCCTCACCGGATTACTCTTCGCGTTCGCGAGAGTACCTTCGCAAATGCGAAGAAGGACATGCCAGAACATAGATTCTGCAGAAAAACCAGATTTCCAAAGTCCAAAACATCCCGTGGCCTATCCGAAACTCACCCGAGCCCTCGGGGCTCCAAAACAAACATGCACACAAGTCTAAAAATATCATACGAATTTGTTCGCGCGATCAAATCTCCAAAATAACACCTAAAACTCTAAATTTAGCACCAATTCAAATTTCTTTCTCACCAAATTTCACAGACATGTCTTAAATATTGTAATGAACCTGTACTAGGCTCCGGGACCAAAATACGGACCCGATACTAACAATGTCAAATATCAATCAATTCTTTAAAATAAATAATTTCCAAAGTTTTAATTCTCATCAAAAATTCATAACTCAAGCTAGGGACCTCCAAATTCGATTCCGGGCATACGCCCAGGTCCCATAATACGATACGGACCCATCGGGACCATCAAAGCACGTATCCAAGCCCGTTTATCAAAAATATTGACCGAAGTCAACTAAAATTAATTTTTAAGGCAAAAATTCTTATTTTCATTAGTTTTTAACATAAAAGCTTTCCGAAAACCTGTACGGACTACGCATGCAAATCGAGGAGGGTAAAAATGAGATTTTTTAAGGCTTAAGAGCGCCGATTCGAGTTCTAAAATATAAGATGACCTTTTGGTCATCACATCATCCTTTTATTAATCGTTCTTCTTCTTATTTGGCTCTCTACACTGACTACTGTAGTGACCCTTTTTATTGAAATTCCAACACGTAATGTCTTTGCGATTTTTGGATTGCCCTCTTCTCCTTGACTTTGATCTGCCACGACCATGATTTTGTCTTCTTTGACTGCTTCTCCCCCTAATTTCGGTATTCAAAGCAGATCCTTGAGAATTACTTGATTTTCTCCGGCGAATATCTTCGCTTAGAACCGAGTCTCTAATATTATCCAATTTGAGTTTGGTACTTCCCGATGAACTACTAACTGCAGTTATTGTTGCAGACCAACTCTCCGGTAGAGATAATAGTAGAATCATCTACCTGACTTCGTCATCAAATACTATATTGACAGAACTCAATTGAGTTAATACTACATTAAACTCATTGATATGTTTCGTAACAGATCCACCTTCTATCATCTTTAAGTTGAAAAATCGACGCATCAAATAGACTTTATTTGAAACAGATGGCTTCTCGTATATATTTGATAACGCCTTTATCAGGCCTGCAGTGGTCCTCTCATTAATGATGTTAAACGCCACATTTCGTGTTAGCGTCAAACGAATCACACCAAGAGCTTGACGATCTAATAGATCCCAATCCGCTTTGGCCATATTCTCTGGTTTTACCTCGGTCAGAGGTAAGTGTAATTTTTTCTGGTACAAATAATCTTCTATTTGTATTTTCGAGAATCCAAAATCTTTGTCATTGAACTTGTCAATCTTAACCTTCCCTTCTTCCGATGCCATTATTCACAAAATTCTTTTTATGTTAATAGTGCTTGCGAATAGTAACGATGATCAATAGTGTCGCACTATTCTTGTGAATAGTACATGCACCAATACCGTACTTTTCTACCAGAATTACATTGTCGATGCTCTAATACGAGTTGTTGGAAAATGTGTCAGGCTGATAGAAGGAAAAAAAAATATTTGAAAGAAAAAAGTAATAAATTGCACAAGACAAGACAAGAGAAGATTTACGTGGTTCGGCAATTTTTGCCTACTCCACGTCCACACAAAGAATAGCTCTTTATTAATTGAAGAGAGAAAGAAGAAGTTGAGGGATAATATACAAATGAAAATGCATACCCCTTTTATAGGCATTTGAATGCCCTGCCGACGTAAGCGCTTACATCATAGGAATACTGATATAAGCGATTACATCATATGAATGCCGATGTAAGCGCATACATCATAAGAGTGTCGATGTAAGTGCTTACATCATAAGTTCATCTCTTTTTGACTTTTCTTTCTTTTGTTTTTTCTACTTTTCTTTCTTTCACATACAACAACAGGTTTGCTACTGTCAACTCCTTCGTGTCATCACCTTTTGGTTTTTTATTTACATGTTAAGAGTCTATGCCAAAGCCTCCCCCTCCCGCCACCACAAAGGGGATTAATTAAAAAGAAAGAGTTGCTAAAATTAGATAGTTTCCAAAAAGCAAAAACGCATCATTCTTTTTTGAGACAAACTAAAAAGGCAGAGTGTGTCATACTTTAATATGGAACAGTGGGAGTAATTATGTTGACATTATCAGAGTGCCAGAAAATATGTAGTAACATATAAGACAATAGCAAACATTTATATTATGCAATCTGATAAGCAAAATAAAATCTAGTTCCAAACTCTGGCTAATTAGAGCCAACTTATTCCTTTACAATTACTTTGAAAATGAAGTCGTGCCAGTTGTCGAAGAAATTAATTTGAGAGTAATGTGAAACTAAAATGGCATCATCAATGATCACAAACTATACAAGAAAAGAATTTGGAAGCAAAGGATTTGGATTTTCTTGGAGCTCTCTCAGCTAGTAATTGATCTCTTGGTATTAAGATAGTAGACTCATGTGCACCACTTTGTATGGCTTTTTCACCTTCATCCAAGAATTTCTTGAATGCATTATGAACATAATCAGCTGCCTTAGCAACAGTCATTCCCTCCACAAGCTTGTTGGGATAAGACTTGTTCATATAATCTCCACATAATACTGCTGACATTTGTACCATTTCTGCTTGAAACTCTGTTAACTTTGCCTCTTCTTGTGCTTCTGCCTCTCTCATTCTTACTGGTTCTGGTAAAGTTTCTGCAATGATATTCAAGTAGTATAGCATGTTAATTAATGGGACAAAAAAGACCATCTGGTATTCGAAACCCACTGTCCACTAACCATTTCCCATGTGTCCAAGAACTCCTAGATATTAACATCATTGATTGTTTGCTCTAATAAAGTAGTACTGGAGCATGTATGTAACGCCTATGGTTTTACTATTTTATATTTAGGAGTGCATCTTAAGCTTACGATTGGCAGCAATATTATTAAGTACAATAATTATGTCAACAGATATATTATTATTGAAATGTTGTATTCTCTGGTCAGGAATTGGCTCGAGCTTTGGAAAATAAAGTGTTGTTAATAATAACGATACCCAGGTTAGTTCAAATATACCAACTCGTAATCAAATATCCATAACTAGCGACTCGTTAGATGAATGCAATTGCATGCTGTTATTCACAAAAAGATAAGGATCGGACTCGGAGTTGATTTCACTAAATAGAGATCCACAAAAATTAGAAATTAAAAGAAGTTGTAAGGATACTACATTAAAGAAAAGTATATATTGTTATTGTTTATAAACTAAATATTTTTGGAGAAAGAAGAATAACTAGCTTCACGAGATAATAGCTAAAGCGAAAAAACAATTACCAGGGCAGTCTGTTCTTGGGGTTGATCTGGTTATGACAGTCTCAAAGGTACCAGCCCATGCATCACGTTTAGTTAGGAACTCATCCAAATTAAAAATCTTCTTAACAGTTGCAGGAATTGAAGAATGCTCAAATTCAGAAGTAGCATATGGTCCTGATGGCTTATGCAACACTGCATTCATATAACAACCATATATGCATTAATAAGAATTTCAACAAAATGAAGACCACATTCTGTTACGCAATATCCACTCTTTTCGAAATAGTTCATGACTTTTACACGTTCATAAAATAAAAATAATTTGCTAATTAAACTTTTCTTTTGAAAATAAAGCACAGGATTTTGATATGATGGAAGTCATATATATTTTTCAAGAACTTTTTTTCCATGAGTTAAGTGACAAAATGAAGCCTTAGATGATTTGAAATATATTATGAAAAGCTTAATTGAAGTATTTCAATTTCATATAATTAAAATGTAACAAAATAGAGACAGCATGTTTATGGGACTTTGTCCATAAATGTGTTATGAACTTATGGATATGCAAGAGTTTAGGGTTTATCCTCACAATGAGAATAGTTTGGTAAATATAAATATTTGGTAGGAAAAAATGGGGCATCAACTTCTGATTCCAAAGAAATTACGTGACTCTTTTCCAGCTTCTTTGCCATTGCAGAAAAGCAAGTCCGGCTACCACTAGAAAACACTTATATTTTCACAAATATTGGAATTCCACAATTGCAGAAGCTTCGGATCGATTATACTTTTAGTTAATTGGGTAGGTGTCGATAGCAGCAGAACCTTATACCACAAAACAAGCAAAGATCCTGAAATGAGCACTTCTAATTTTCAAAAAAATTGGCCAAACAGTAGTCAAGTAAGGCTTGAATTACCTGTTCCTCTTTCAATCCATGGAGAAATCATGATCGCCGGAACCCTAACACCGAGGCGATCAAACTGAAAGTTATAAGGCGCAGTGGTACCCACAATACCGTCGGGGCTGGGAACTCCGGTGACCGGAGTTGGCACATGGTCAAAGAAACCACCATGTTCATCGTATATTATTATGAAAAGCATTTCATTCCATTGAGGGCTTGATCTCAACGCCTCGTACACTTCTTTCACGAATTTTTGCCCTTCAAATACATCGTGCGATGGGTGATCATCATTCCCTGGCAACACTTTTAAGTCATAAAATCTTGGTTCAATTACTACATAATTTGGTAGCTTTCCCTCCTTGCAGTGATTTTTGAAGCTTAGATCGAACGGATGAAAATTCTTTATGTATTTCAGTTTCCTAAGATTCCTGAATAAGCAAATATTTCCATCTCAACATTAAAGCACTTGAGAAAATAGTACATACTTTTAGTACAAATTGTGAAAAAACGTAGATTATAGTGTGAATCAATTCAACTACGTGTGAAACAAAATATAATTAGCTAACGTCTAACGGCATTTAGAGCTGAAATTTAGGGTGTGTTCGGTAGGAAGGAAAATGATTTTCATGAAAATATTTTCTTGAAAAATAAATCATTTTTTTAAACTTATTTTTTGGTGTTTGGTTAGGTAGCAGGATTTTTATTTTTTTGAAAATTAAAATACATAATTTAGGCAAACACTATGGGAGACGAAATGGATAAGGGCGGAGGAGGTTGGTAGTCGGGATCTAGGAGCCATGATAATGGTGTCGAGGGTAGGGGTGGGGGAAGGTGGTGGTGGGGTGGCGGCAGGGGCGGATTCAGTTCAATTGCTACGGGTTCCCGTGAACCAGTAGCTTTTGTCTAGAGCATGTATTTGTATTAAAAGATTCATTAAATGTATAAGAATATTTAGCTTGAAAAGTTCGTTCATCCAATTAGTATTGTATATTAACTCGAGATTTTTGTAGGAACCCATAAACCTAAAATTCTGGATCCGCCTCTGAGTGGCGGTGGCGGGGGTAGGGGTAGCGGTGGCCGGGGGTAGGGTTAGGGGTAGCGAGTGGCGGTGGGAGTGGTGGAGGGTTGAGGTGGAAGGTGGTGTGGATAATATGATAGGGAGGTTGAAAAAGAGTTCTCAAAAATATTTTCCCTCCTTTTAGTAGGGAAGTCATTTTTCGCCAATTGAAAGAAAATGAATGGATGAAAATTATTTTGATCCCCCAACTTCATCTTAAAAACAAACTCCTCCTCCAAGATTAAACAATAGGCATTCTGCTCCTTGAAACTATGTATTTTTAAAATGCCTATTTTATCCTCAATTTTATCAGCCTTGGTCGATATTTATTTTTACCTTGTTAATATCACGATATTTTATTAATCAAAGTTATGAATTTACCTAAAGTGAAAATTATTTTTTAAAAAAATAAAAAATGATAATCAATCATATATAATTAATTGAAATTGAATAATAAAATAAATTGGCAGAATTAAAATATTTGAGTAAAAGATCTTTTTAATATCAATCAAATAAAATGTTGTGCAATAATATCTAGAAATAATAATTAAAAATAGAGATAAATTTTATAATAAATTCCTAAAATATTACATATTTATACCTTGGATGTTCTTTAAATTATAATTTAAAATATATTTTGTTAAAAAAAATAAAAATTCATAAATATATACATATATGTATATATAAGATAAATAATAAAAGGGAAAGTAAAACTTAAACATATATTAAAGTAACAATAAAAAAGAATAACAATGAATTTGTTATAAATTCATAAAAGTACTATTCTAGTTAAATTTTATTGAGCTTTAATTCATAATAAGATATTTAGCTAAGAATTCTACCAATTTAAATATAACAAAAAATTTATATGCATAGAGGAGCAATTGAAAATGTCAAGCATAAAATAGACAATGCATATGATAGGAGGAGTAGAATATTCATTGTTTAATGTTGAAGGAAGAGTTTGATTTTTAAGGTAAACTTGGGGGATCAAAATGATTTTCGCCCGAAAATAAATTTACGAGGAAAATATTTTCCAAAACATTTAAGTCAACCAAACATAAAATAATTAAAAATATTATCCATAAAATATATTTTTTTTCATACCAAACACACCATTAGTATTATAACCATAAAACTAAACCAACTATATAATTAATACTCACCTAATGTTTCTGTTAAACAATATTCAGATGATGTTTAAAAAAAAAAAAAAAAAAAAAGACAAAGGAACAGATAATCAAGGAGTGGAATTATGTCAACGTTCTTCAAATATGAAATTTCCGGATATTAATAGGACTGAAGTTATATATTGCCAATGTAAATATGTTTTTTACACTATAATGAAAATTAAAACGTGAGAGCATGTTACCTCAGCTATGACTATCAATTACTTAACATAAAATGAGGACTGGAGTTACGCACACTACAATGTAAATATGTTATATAATTTATATAGCCATGAATATCAATTACTTATCAAAAAAATTTATGGCCATTAATTATATTTTAAGTGACCTGTATATTTTCTTAATGCAAGACGGTCGAAAAAAGGTAGTACTAGTATTATTATTTTTTCGGAAAAGGGTCATATTTGCCCATATACTCTTTAAAGGGGGTTATATTTGTCCTTCGTTATACTTTTTTGATATATTTATCCTTATCGTTATACTTTAGGATCTTATTTACCCCTGTACTCTTCAAAAAGGGTTACATTTGTCCTTCGTTATACATTTTTGACATATTTATCCTTACAATTATACTTTAGGATCATATTTGTCCCTCATCCTTTAGATTGCCATGTCCCACCTTTGTTTTCCTACATGGCGCCTATGTGAGTTTCTTTTTCTTCCAATTTAAATATGGTCACATATTTAAGATAATTTAACCTTCCCTCCCCCCCCC